TCATTTTTTCTATTTTGGAAAAAATATCCATTCCCATGTCCTTTCTAACATCTTTTACATCTTATTTTCTTTTTTTAAAAAAAATAATTATGAGACATAATAGCATTAACAAATGTTTTGTCTAAACAGACCTTCATCACTTGTTTAGGCTTTATCATTTTTTCTATTTTAGAAATCCATTCCCATATCCTTTTAACATCTTTTGCATTCTAGTTTTCTTTCTTTCTTTCTTTTTTTTTTTTAAAGTTCAGTGTGACATATTTATCTCATTTGCCTGAGGGTCTGCTGTGAATGGGAAACCACCTTGCCATACTCCCATCCTGGCTGTGTGAACAAGCTGTTCTGCTCACTTTAACTGGAAGACACCACCTAGTTCTACCCCACAGTGGTGCAATATTTGGCTTAAAAAAGACTTCTCTCAAGGGAAGTCTTTAGCTATACAGCATTAGTAGAGTAGGGAGAGATAGTTACATGAAGCTTTAAGGGCCAAGGGCCACTGACACGCTAGGTCCAAGGGCTGTAATGCTGGCCATCCAAGATCTGGAATATTTGTCTCTGTAGAGCTGAGGATCCTAGCACATGAGACTTCAAGAGCTGTAATGGTAGCAGGGGCTGCCTGCTGCTACTTGTTGCTATCTGCTGCTACTGTTCACTGCTGGGGATGGCTGAGGATTACAATCACTACCACGTACCAGGGCTGCAGGTGATTAAAAGCACAGGTCAGTCACCCACCAACTAGCATGCCCAGAGCAATATGCTTCTGTGTTTTAAAGCCTGGAGCTGTTCACCCCTAGATCTGAGTTTGGAGTGGTAAGCTTCAAGGTCTGTCAGTCCAAATCCAAGGCCTTACATGGACCAAGGATTGCCTGCACTAGAGGATCTCTGTGTTTGGTTTCTATCCAGGTAAAACAGCTGGTTGGAAACAGCATGCTGTTCTCTGCTGTGCTGAGGTGTGGGAATTTTACTCTACTCTGACTGGTTTTCTCTGAGCTTCCTGGACCTGTAGATTGATGGCTGTCATTAATTTCGGAAAATTTCAGCCAGTATTTATCCAGATCTTCTTCCTCTTCCTCCAGTTCCTTCTTCTCCATCCAGTGTTCCCATGGTGTCTGTCTCATAACTGTTTATAGTTTTCCTGCACTTCTCAGAAGCCCTCTTTTCTTTGCATTGGATGAAAGGATTGTGATGGCATACCCTCACCTCCTCTGCTTCCTTCCCTGGTCATCTCCAGTCAACTGCTGAGGCAGAAGAGGATAATGTACATGTTGTTTCAGTGTTTTTTTTTTAATTCTAGCTGTTCCTTTAGCTTCTTAGATCTTGCATCCCCCGTCTACATTATCCATCTATTCTTATATGTTGTGTAATTTTCTATTAAAGCCTTTTCCATATTAATGAGTCATTTAAAGCCCTGTTTAATAACTACTTGAGTTTTGTTTTGAGGTGACAGTTTCAGTTCTTCCTTGTTATACTGAATTTTAATTTTTTAAAAAACTGATCACAATGCCTGTGGTAAGCAGAATTAAGGTAGCTAAGGAGCTGGTGTAGTTTTGCTAATGTGGCTACATGCTGGGCTGCGTCTCAAGTGTGTTATAGGTCTGGTGGTTTCAATTCCTCTCGTATCATAGTCCTGTTTTGTAGTGGACTTTCCTGAGGGCTCCTTCTTGGCCATCCATGCCTCCCAGCTCTCTCACTGTGGAACACTTCCGCAGGACTATGAGACTAACATGCTATTAATAATGCTGTAGTTTCTGTCCACTTGTCACAAACCTAAACAGACCAGGGAGGAGGAAAGTCTCAATTGAGGAATTTCCTATATCAGATTTGCCTGTGGACATGTCTGTGGGACATTTTCTTGTTTGCTAGTTGATGTGGGAGGGCCCAGCCCACTGTGGGTGGTCTCATCCCTAGGCAGATGGGCCTGTGCTGTGTAAAAAGGGCAGCTGAGCAGGCCAGGGAAGCCAGCCTGCAAGCAGAGTTCCTCCATAGTCTCTACTGCAGTTCCTGCCTCCAGGCTTCTGCCTTGAGCACCTCCCTTGAAGTCCTCTGATGATAGACTGTTACCTGTAATCCAAATAGACCTTTTCCTTCCCAAGTTGGTTTTGTTCAGTTTTTTCATCAAAGCAACAGAGAAGCAAACTAGGACAGGAAGGGAAAATGTTTTTTAATCTTATGTAATTAAGTCTGTTTTTCAGAAGCCATGAATCCCTGAGCTATGAACTTAAATAGTATTTCTTCAGCATTGTTTTCCTCTTTTTATGCTAGACAGAAAGTCTCTAGTGAGGTTTTCCCCAGACCAGATAAGACTGGTAATTTCCACTGGGAAGTATATGTTTCTTATAGAAGAACACAACAGGATTATTTCAAATGGTTACTTTCCCTTTCCCCTTGCCGTACCAAAAAAAAGAAAAGGACTTTTTAAAGATTTGTTTTAAGTGTGTGTGTGTGTGTGTGTGTGTGTGTGTGTGTGTGTGTCTAGGTGTGTGTAGTACCTGTGGGGGCCAGAAGAAAGCATCGGGTCCCCTGGAACTGGAATTACAGGCAGAAATGAGCCACCTGATGTGGGTGCTGAGAATTGAACCTGGGTCCTCCACAAGAGCAGCAAGCACTCTTAACTGCTGAGCCATCTCTCCAGCCCACAGAAGAGAATATCTTATATGTCATTCTATGATTCACTTTAACTAAATCTAAATTCATTTTGACATTTCCTTATTTTGATATACTCCTTATTATATTTGATTAAAATATTTTCTAAGTCATAGCAGTATCCTCTTATATGCATGGGTACTAAAACTATACCAATTAATTTCCAAATTTGGGGGCTTTAACTCTCAATATCAATCAACGAAAGATTATTAGGTACATTCCCCTGGTTGAGCAAGTTGGAATTATTTACTGAACCAAACAGAGGACTTATTACCCTGGGCGAGACGGGGCTCCCTCGGAGAAAGATCTCAGAGAACAACAGGTATATGATTTGTTTGGATTCCTTTTTCTAGAAATTATTGAAGGAAGTAGGAATTTAGCCTAGATGAGGTGGTATGTGGAAGTAGGAACAATTTTGTGATTATCTTAACGAATCTCACCCTTAGATGAGTTGACAGGTAGAAAGTTTACAGCTTTAATTGATTAGCAATGCGTCTACAACTCATATCAGCCAGACATCAGGGATATTTATTAGTCCAGTGGTTGCATGCCTACTGATTTTATTTTCCTCTGTGTCTAAACACAATAGTGACACAACCTGATCTGGACTCACTGTCATGGCCTCAGAGTGACATTTTCTGATGTTGCTCTGTGAGGTTGTTTACATGACACCGGAGGATAATGCCGTCTAACTGTGTGTGGCCTATCCGCTCTCAGGCCAGTGCTTAGCTGACGGGGCCTGCCCATTTCCCAGTGTCAAGGGCTGCCCGTTTCTTGTCTCGGCTGCTGATTTTTACTTTGTCTTTAGTGTAGTCAGGAACAGGCTCTGAATGGCACAGCATATGGTGACACTTCGTTTATTCAGGAGCAGGGTTTTTACTGGGTACTTGTTTAGATGTAGTGATCTGTATTTAGATTAAATTTCCTAATGTTGTTTATTCTGTGTCTTGGAGCTTAACTTCTTGCTAAGAAATATGCATCTTTATAGTAATGTTTTGAGCCAAAGATATTTGCCTAATGTTAGTATAGTGACACCATAAACTTTTTGGACATATATATATATATATATATATATATATTGGATTTTGTTCTGTATTATTGCTGTGCAGCAATTTTTTTCAGAGACAAAACTTTCCACCTCCGGGGAAGCTTGGTAAACCGCAGGGTGTTCTAAAGGTGAACCCCTGGATGGTTTGAAGAGAGGTGACACATTCCATCCTGCATCTGCAGTGAAGTTCCTTAAGCTCAGGCAGTCAACAATTCAAAAGCTTCAGGCTTTCCCTGGAACTGACCAGATTCACCGGCGCCTCCCAGGACTTCAGATGGCTGAGCTGCCTGGAAGAGGTGGCGATTGGCCAAGGTGCCTAAGAGTCTCAGACTAACTGAGCTGCCCACAAGAGACACTCTCCAACCCACTGAGCTGCCTGTGGGATGTGAAGTGCCTGCCAGGTTTCCAGCTTTGGGGAGCTGTCAAGATGTTGAGGTGGATTTTGGCGACGCAGCTGGCTTTGAGTCATTTCTGTTCCTGTAAGTGACCCTTCACCCACACTCCTGTTAGCAACCCCAATGAAACTCGTTGGCTCACCAAATTGGACTTTGGTGCTGTCCTTACTTAGGTCGGTCGTCGGTTCCCTGTGTGGGGTGAGTAGACATTTATTCAGCTCTCCCCAGGAAAAGCATCACATAACAATTGCATTTTCAGCATGTATGTGATACATTTCAAATGCGACTTTATAAAGGCATATATTTATGGCCTGTTTTGTCTCCCTGACAGTCTTGCTATTAGTTAGAATTTTATCCCATCATTCCGCTCTTTACTGTTATGCTCAGATTCCCGCTGAGCTGTCGTTTAGGTTGTTGGTTGTTTTCTGTTGTCCCGTTTGCTTACATCTTCGCCTTCTGAATCAGCCACTGGTTTGACAGTTCGCCCCTGCCCAGCTGCCGCCTGACGTCGTCGTATTTGCTTGTTAGCATTCTCTGAGAATTTTCCTATTCCTCTTCCTGTTGTAGCAATTAGTGCATTTATTACTCGCCAAACAACACAAGCGCTTTAGAACAATTCACTCCACACTTCCTCCCGTCTTCTGAGCCTAAATTTTATCTAGTACATACTTACTTATATTTTAAAATCAATTTTGTTTTCTTATTACTAATATTTTTCAAAAATCCTATATAAATATATAGTCACTGACATAGTTTCCCTTTTTCATAAACTTTATTGAAATTTTATGTTTTATCTGAAATAATCTTTATTCATCCCAAGTAAATTCTCTTGATATTTGGGTGTTTAATGGTTTTTATAGTACACGTTTGTCATACTCTGTGACTGTGTTGTTGGCTTGTCATTTCTAACATGCTTTGTTTGGGTCTGACTAACTAGATTGACAGGTATTTTTGGCTTATGAGATTTTTCTTTTTCTCTCTGTCTGGCATTTTAAAGATGTTATTGTGCTGTGTGTTCTGGCTTCTGTTCAGTCTTGTTATTGCTAAAGTTATTAGCACTCTGAAGTAGTAAGTGTTTTCCTCTGTCCTTGCAGATTCTGTTCTGTTTAGCAGTTTGATTATCCCATACCTGTTTGTGTTTTCATTTGTTCCTTCCCTGGGGATTATTCAATCTGTTGCTCAATTGCTCTGTTTCGTTTGAAAAATTGAATATTCTTGGCCAGTATTTCTTCAGGTGTTACTTATTTTGCATTTTTTCCATGCTCCCTTTTTGAACTCAAAACCATGTCTCTTTTCCCCATCTCTGACTCCAGCTTGCTGCTTGATTTTAAAATATAAGTAAGTATGTACTAGATAAAATTTAGGCTCAGCCACTATCTGGAAGAGAAAATGTCAGGAGGAAGAAGACAGAACGGGAGCACACCGTTTGTGTTTTTAAACCAGTGTAATTAGCTCCATCATGCTTGACCTGGGCAGCCAGCGCCTGCTGTCCTAAGTCCCTGCCTTCCTAGCAGGAAGTCCAGTCCACTCCTCCAAATTCCCCTTCTGCTAGCCAGCACCTCCATCCTGTTCCCTTTGGGGAGATAGATTGGATTAATCAATCTACAGTCTAAGGACAGTATTTGCAAATAATTACAAATGAAGAGATTTGGAAAGCACTGTTAACTGTAATCTTTATAGCTTTGTAAATGTATATAAAAAGTTCTCGCTGTCACGTGGAAACCCCTGAGGGGACGGCTTGCAGGGACAGAGATTGGAGATTGAAAGTGCCAGAGAGTGGTCCGGCATCTCTGCTGTGGAGCTGGCTCTGATGTTGCCCATCGTGAGGAGGGAGATCTGCTTTCATGTGTCAAGAGAAGTAAGGGCACCAGGTGAGCTGCTGTAAACAGCAGTTAGAAGGGGAGTTTTGTCCCCTGGTAGTGGATCCTGGGCTGTGTGGTGGCTGGAAATGAGGAGAATTTGAGCCACAGTGCAGTAAGTATGTGGTGTGTGGACGCCGCCGAGACTGATGGCCCCCATCACATAACAAGACCATTGAGCGTTGGTGACCAAGGAGCACAGGGTTGGATGGAAGAGGTAGTCCTGGAGTACAGGGGCTGGCGAACAACAGCCAGCAGCTGTGTCACGGTTGCCTCTCCTCCTTTCCGTGTGCTGAGAAACTGAACAGTGTTACCCACAGTGAGTCACAAAGGGAATGGAATGCACTTGGGTTACAAACACAAATGCCCTAGGTGTTGATGGTGATTCCAGCTTTGAGGGGATGGCTGGTACATATGGCTGTGGAATATAACGCTGGCTTATTAATTAATATTACATGACAAGAAAGATGACTATTGATTCACTTTTGAGTCACACATTCTGTGTTGTGCCAAGAATAATTGTTCAAGTATTTATCTTTCAAAGTTCTTTGACTACAAAAACTAAATTCTTGGGGTGGTGTCTTTTTGAGGAAGGGTCTTCCTGTAGCCCCAGCTGGCCTGAAACTCACTATGTAGACCAGGCTGGCCTTGAACTTACAGAGATCCACCTGCCTCTACCTCCCAAGTGCTGGAATTAAAGGCATGCACCACCACACCCAGCTAATTTCCTTTCTTAACACCCAATGATAACTGGTACAGAAAAACTGTTAAATTCATGTTGTCAAAAGTTTTTTTTATTTATTTATATTATTTTTAAAATATTTTATTTAGTTGGTTATTATTTATTATTATTTTTACTATTATGTGTATAAGTGTACTACTGCCTGCATGTGTGTAAGCACGCCTGTGTCATGCAATGCCCACGGAGGTCAGAAGAGGGCATCACATTCCCTTGGAACTGGACTTATGGACAATGGATCGTTGTTAGCTGCCATGTGGGTGCTGGAATTTGAACCCAGGTCCTCTGTAAGAACAGCCAGTGCTCTTAACAGCTTACCCATCTCTTTAGGCCCTAAAATAATTTTAAATCACATTTATTTCTCTATTGCATGTGTTTTTACATATACACACACTCTCCATGTACCTTGTGTGACTCTGGAATCAAACTCAGGTCATCAGTCTTGCTAGTAAGCATCTTCACCCACTGAGCCATCTCTCTGGCACCAAAACCTTCCTTTGTATATGATTTTGGTCCTACATGATAGAATTTCAGATAAAAATCTGGACTAGATAATAAAATATATGATCTGACCTTTTCCTCCACTAAAATCATGATTTATAAACTACCAGGGAAAGAATTTTAAGAGTTTTAGAAATGCTCAGAAAAATAATAGATTTTTTGGGACGATGTATATTGGATCCCAAGGATATCTTTAGAGACTAGGTCATCTGGATAATGAATTCTAATATGTTTGTCACTATGTGGTTGCCCTCCATAGCAACCATACCTTTACACAGTCATTGATTGTTTTGGAGTAAATAAGTCTCTAAAAAAATAATGGAATTTTGTCCTTATTTTATAGCCACATATACTGCATAATATGGCACTGAATAAATATTTCTGATGAAAAATTGTATTTATTGACTGCCTAGATGTTTTTAGTGCCGTTGCTTGGTGTGACATCACTCAGTCAAGAGGATTAAGGATATTGCATGTTTTTGCTTTTTACCTAAAGAATCGATATTTCCCCTCTTTTAAAAGCCATATTTCTTCCTGGACGTTTGTGGATGATGAAGCGATCTCCCACTGGAAGGAAGATTGGAGAGGACAGGACAGGCGCATATTCAATCCTTGTGTGTCTTTAATTATTTAATCATTTTCAGATGGGGATTCATAATCAGAATTCTTCCTTATGTCCATTAATTGTCTTGGAATAAGAATGTGCTGGGGCTGAGAGATGGCTCAGCAGTTAAGAACTCTCATTGTACTTGCAGGGCACTGGAGTTCAGTTCCCAGCACCCATACTGGGCCAGTCACAGCTGCCTTTAACTCCACCTCACAGGGATGAGACACCACCTTCTGGCCTTTGCAGGCATCTGCACACACGTGCACACACGCACACACACACACACACACACACACAAATAAAAAGAATCATTTAAAAAAATGTATCCTTGTTGATATTTTTATAAACTCTTGAGAGCATTATTGGTTCTTATTAAGAAATATAGTCTCTGTTGCAAAAGAAGCTTGTGCACACATGCACACACACACACACACACACAAATAAAAAGAATCATTTAAAAAATGTATCCTTGTTGATATTTTTATAAACTCTTAAGAGCATTATTGGTTCTTATTAAGAAATATAGTCTCTGTTGCAAAAGAAGCTTCTTTGATGAGTGGTGACTGGCATATTTGTCTGTAAATATAAGGATCCATATTTAGCAC